ATTTATCATCTCTGCCACCTGCCTGTCACAGAAAAATCACTTCCTCCTTCCTGGTTGGAAGGCAGCTTTAATGAGCGATGGGGCAGCCGCCTTCACAACCGCAGCAGCTCTTTGCATAGAAAACAGGCAGCCTCAGTGACCCACATGCCATGCCCCCCCCTTTTCTCCCTCCTCCATGTGGCAGGAGGTCCTACCTCCTGCTAACTGCTCAGCCAAGTAATTAGCTGAGGCAAATTTTGGCTCCTGGCTAGGCTAGTGGGGCTACTACCCTGCTCTGTCCACAGGAGATCCCTGGGCAGACCAGCTACAGGGGTCTGAACCCCCACTTTGTACCATCTGTATTCACTGCTCCCCTCCAGCTCTGTCTGCCAGAGCTGCCCATCTCCATGGGCACAGCTCCATGGGAGTTCCCTGCCTGGCTGAACCATCCAACAGGCACCAATCCAGCTATACCAGTGCCTGTGAGATTGAGAAATACACTCCAGGCAGGGGAAAGAGCCCAGGAAAAGTAGCGTGGCAATTCCAAAGCCATAGGGCAGCCAAGGTGTGTAAGTCACTGCTGGGGAACTCTGACACCCTATCCCAAAGGAGCTGTCTCACACGCTGCCCTGGAAACATCCCAGATAGCAGGCACTTTGAGCACACTGCAAAACATGGCACTGCTGCAGCCAGCAACTCACCACGGGCCCCCGGTGCTCACCTGCATGGAAGTAGGGGCTCATGGTGTAGGGGAACCCAAAGGGCAGCGGCTGAGGCGGCGGGATGGAGGCTGGCGGGAGGTATTTCACCTCGGTTTTGTTGATGCCTGGGCCAAGCAAGTGGCTGGGGGACTCTGCACTGGAGGAGCTGCAGGGGGCATTTTGCCCTGCAGCTGCTTCACCCAGCTCCTTGGCCCCTTCACAGGCTTTGCCCGTCTCTTTGCACTCCTTGAGCTCGGCGGCTGAGCCGCTGCTCTCAGCCTTCAGGCTCTCCGGCTTCTCGTCGCTGACCTCCGCGTCGCTCTCAGAGTCCTTCATCTCCTCGTCGTTACAGTCCGGAGCCCCATCCCGTGCCCGGGGCTCCGCCAGCTCCTTGGCCTCGCTCAGCCCCTGCGGCTCGGCGCGGTGCTGGGCGGCTTTCCGGCTGCCCCGCCGGGGCTGCTCCTTGGGTGGGGTGGCACTGCTGGGGACGCTGGGGTTGAGGGAGAGCAGGGGGGTGTTGTTGTGTCTCAGCACCAGCATGGCGTTCCTCCGGGACAGCTCCTCCCGCAGCGGGTGGCCCTCGGGGATGTCGTGCACGTTCCGCAGGGCAGGGTGGTCTGGGGGCAGGCCGGGATGCAGGCTCAGAGGGTCACCAGCCAGGAGCCTCTGCCTGTGGAGATTCTCCAGCTCCTTCTGGCGGATGATCTCGGCCGACATCTCCAACCTGAATTGGGAGGGGAAGAGAGGGAACTGTGGGTGCAGGGGGTCTACAAGGAGCTCACCAACCCCCTCCCCCCAGCCACACTGAACCTGAGCTGGTAGGATCAAGGTGTTGCCTCCACACCTGCACATTTTTTGACTGGATGAGGGGTAAAGGTTTTACACAGAAAGAGGGTAGATTAGGATTATGTATCAGGAAGAAATTTTTTCCTGTGAGGGGGGGGAGACATTGGCTCAGGTAGCCCAGGGAAGCTGTGGCTGCCCCATCCCTGGACGTGTTCATGGGCAGGTTGGATGGGGCTTGGAGCAACCTGGTCCAGTGGGAGGTGTCCCTGCCCATGCAGGGAGTTGAACTAGATGATCTTTAAGGTCCCTCCCAGCCCAAAGTTTGGGGTTTAATTTCATGCCCAACCTGAATAGGGTTTCATTTAACAAGCAAGTGTGGAAATCAAATACAAAACAGTTATGGCCAGCATTGTCTACATTCTTGGAGTGGCACTGAACTAGCAGAAAGAAAAGACCTAAGACACTGGCCCAGACATGCTCCAGCTGTCTGCAACTACTTCTTCCCTCCTCCACTGAATGTAACCATTCAACTTGTTTTCATTTCATTATTGGATGTTTTTTCTACAACCATTATATTTATCTTCCTCTTGGGGACAAAAGCATAGATGCTAAACATCAGCTTTTGCACATTTTGTGTGCAGAAGTGTTTGTCTGTGATTCCACTGGTCTCACTTGGACACCCCTCTGTCACTCATCCAACACAGCACCCCACGTTACTCTGCCTGCCACCAGGAAAGGGAAGGAAAAACCCAAGCCCAGCCCAGGCAGGCCAGCTCTCTGCACTCTTTACCTGGCCAGGTTTTGCTTTCGTAGCATCTCTTGCTGCCGTGCAAACATCTCTGCTTGTGCTGGCTGCAGGAACCCGTACCCTGGGGACAGGGAGAACAACAATTTGGAGTTATTAATCTCAGCGTTGAGTCTTTGCTAACTCAGGGGAATCCCCCCAGAAGGGCAGCTAAGCATGGAAGGACAGCCTAGAGCTGCTTTTCTGTTCTAGAACCCATCTATTCCCAAGGCAGTGCAGCCTGCTCCTTGAAACATGGGGCCAGGGGGCTTGGTGGGGATTAAAAGAGAAAGGAGCCAAGACAACGTGCTCCTGTCACTGCAAAACAAGGGTGAAGGCAGCACAACAGTAACACACAAAGTGTGTCTGGGCTCTCTGGCTAAAGGACAGTTTGTCACAGCCTGCACCTTCACTCTGCCCTCTTCTCCTGGCTGATGACAAGCTTGTCTTATGCACTCACCTGGTGTCTGGCAGAGAGCTGAAGGCACCCCAAGGAAAGGAGGTCTCAAGTGGGGCCCCAGGGCAATATGGGGTGCATTCTGGGGTGAAAGCAGAGGCGGTGGGTGGGATATCTCCCTGCAGAAATCAGAAAATAAATTCATGTTGAAAACCTGGAGGCTCCATCCACAGGGCCCATAGGGCTTAGGAAGAACATCCTTTCTGTGTTCTCTACCAGAGGCTGTTCTGAGATAAAAAGGTGCTTGTTCACCAATATGGGAGACATTTACAAGGAAGGGAAAAAAAGAAAAGCAGCAGAACCAGAATGGGCAGGAAGCAGCCTCCCACATACTTCCCACCTTGACATGTTTTTGCTTCTGTAGCCTTTACACTTTACATAGGATTTTGGCTGCCCAGGGCTAGAAAAGTCAAGATGCTGCAACTGTTTTCTTAGCAAGCCAGGGTTTCTAATTCAACTACCGTAAAACTGAAAAGGCACTCTGTATTTTGAGAGCTGGAGAGTGGGTTTGGGAAGGCCTCACGGATATGCCTTACAAAAAATCACTGTCCAGGCTTGGACAAGAGGTGATCTTTAATTCTGGAGAGAAAACTGTAAAGTGAGGCAGAGGAAGACATGGCCAGAAGAGATGAGGAGAGGGATGTGAGCAGGAAGTGCCACAGGGTCAGTGGAAACGAATTCAACTGGGGAAGAGGTGGGTGATGCTGGCCAGCATAGGTACAGCAGGTGTAAGGTGACAAGTAAGCTGGAAGAGGCAGGTTTGAGGGTGGGGGAGAGGACAACGCCTGGAAGCAAGGCAGGTAGAGCTTGCTTGCTTCCTTGCAGGGATGGGAGGGAAAGCAAATTAAAAGAAAGGAGGAAGGCAATAAGAGCCAAGGTCTCTTCCATTAGTCAAATCTGCCCAGGGAGCCTGCAAGCAGATCTCTGCTTTCCGGCTGCACATCTCTTAATTCCTTTTGATGGCCACTTACAACATTATTACCTTCACCAGGGCATCTAGAGGCAAAGCCAAGTGCTGTGCCGTTTATTTTCACTTTACAGTATCTCACTGTAAAATCTGCTTCAGAAGGGACTGGAGGGCAAGAGAAACAGCACAAGAAGGTGCCTATGACTTTGCTACAAACAGACCACATGCACAACCATGCCCACCACTGCAGCAGGGGGGTGATGGGTGAGTCTGGGGTAATGTGACAATCCCACCCACGCCCCACCCCACCCAGTTGGATATGGATTATCACCATGACTCATGAAAAGCCAGACAAGGACTCTCTGGGGACAAGAGGTGGGCAAGGAAAGGATTCCTGTCCTTTCCCCAGATCTTCCCAGTGCAGTTTGATCCTCATTCTATGCCAACAGCCACGACAAGACACTGCCACACACCGATCTATGGCACAGAATGGGCTGACAGTCCCCTCCAAAATTCCTCCCTCTCCCAACCCCTTGCCCATCTGCCTTTCACTGCCTCCCCCTCTTCCCGTCTGCCTCCGCTCCCCTTCTCCCCTGGCTGTCTCCGTCTCTCCTTTCCTCCTCCTTCCTCCCCTAGCTCTCCTCTAAACTAATTGCACAGCTCGCTGTGTCTGGAGGAGAGCCACAGATCGATCGGTCGCTGTTGAAATGTTAATGCTAATCGTATAACCGCTCCGCCAGCACCTCGCACTTCAGTGGCAGCTCCAATTAATCTCAGGTAACGCAGCGCGTGACCTTCGGCTCGGAGCCGGGGCAGCAGCCAAGCGATGCTTATGTAATTACACCATGAAGTGTGTAATCACCTGCCCTAATCCCCGAGGCCTCACAATTAGCCGAGGCCTCGGTCGCTGGGCTGCCAAGTGCTTTGCCACCCCGGACAGCCTGCAGATGAATAACGGACAATTAAAGCGGCATGACGGGGGCTGGGAGGTGTCCGTTCGATCGTAATTAGCTGTAATCATGGGGAGACGAGCCTGGCAGACGTGCTGTTCGTTTTATAAGAAGCAATTTAGGAAATCAAGTCGCTTTTAACCATTCCGCGCCCAGGCAAGAGGTGGTCGTGCCCTCCCTGCCTTTAATAAATGCAGAAAAGGGGATCCTGTGGGAGAGGGAACGGTGCACAGAGCCCCAGGTGCAGGCGGCACACAGAGAGCAAAGGGGAAATGCTAAAAACAAAGAAAGCTTCTTGACTTTAGCCAAGAAGAGACAATCTGTGCCCAGAGTGCACACCGTGTGATGGGGATCAGGACTGGGCACTGGAAAATAAAAGGTTTGCCCTTTGGTGGCAGCCCAGTGTTAATCAGAGGCTATTTTCATGCTTTAATGTCACACCACAGGGCCTAACTTTGATGCCAAAGGAATTCACATCTGCTCAAGACCCTGCAGCTCATTCCCTCTGTCCTCTCATCAGAGCTGTGCGGCTTCCCTGCCTTTTGGAGCCAGGGATTCGCTCGCACTTTGGACTGGCCAGTGCATGGTGCTTCCTGCCATCCCACCAGCCCCTCCTCCCACCCACTCAAGCCTGGAATCTGTTGGAGCCACCACTACCTCCTTCCAGCCCATATGCCCAATCCCTGGCATGGAAACCTGGCACAGGAGGGAGGGAGTACAACCAGGTCATGTCCTGGCACAGAGCTGGGAAGCCCTTCCAGGCTGCCTGGTACAGATACAGCCAGTTGCTTCCGAGCAAGCTTGGAAACGAACAGGCAATCCCAGAGTTAAAAGCCCCAGAGACTTTAACAAAGGCTCCTGTGCTTCCAGACCTGCACCAAAACACAAATCCTTGCGTCCTTTCTCAGGTCCATATCAGCCTTCAACCCCCCATTAATTTCCTTCCTCTTCTTTTTCCACCTCTCAGAGTAAAGGCTGAATTACAGTCCCACACTCTGAGAATTTGAATTTAGCCCTTGGCAATTATATCTGACAAGCCTTGTCCTTACCTTGCAGAGAACAGTTCTGTGTTACTGCATATTCCTCCCCCCACCTCCTTTTATTCCCCCCCC